CATCTACCATAGTCAATGAAAATCCATCCAGTATTCCATGTGTCTCTTTTTGAACCATACAAGACAATAGACATACCAAGAAGATGACAAGCTCCACCTCCTCCTATAGAATTGGACAATAATGTAGATTCAAGGTGACGCCAAAATAAATTGGAATATCTTATCCATTGACGTGGATATGATATTAGTGAATGCACATGGGAGCCAATAAAGAATCTTGCAAATGCAGCAAAGGTGGTGGAGGTTTTTCATCGATGACATCCATCAAAATCAAGATAAAAACCTTCTTTATAAAAGAAACAACATCTATGCAAGATAACATTCTACTTTCAATCCTTGTTTATAGCTTCTTTGTAGTTTTGACGCTTAAGAGATGGAGAATCAACAACCAGTGGATTTGACTCAAGAGCCTTCATTTGCTGACCTGTCGGATGAGACATTACGATTGTCACAACCTTCAAGACGATGCAATCGAGATGAAGAATTTCAAAAATGACATGTTCTTTCTTGAATAGTATGCAAGATACAATGCATTTGATATCACGACTTGGGAAGGGACTTCCGATGTTCGGTGATTTTATTAGAGGTAGGAACAACTCTTGATGGTATTCCAAATATCTATTCGAAGGAAGTTATGAAGGCCTCAACAATGATCAAATAACTGGGTGGTCTTTCCGCCTTGGTATGGGACACTACCGATGGTTGAGAGGCCCTATCAATCATCTTCGAAGAGAACAAAGATCAAAGTATGAGATGAATACAATTCGTCGCATCATAGATTTCTTCAACATATGATGATCGCTCTTCATAGAATTCGTTCCTAGAAGGGGGTGTAATGTCATGGATATACTCATATAAGCTAGTAATTACATATACAAATAGGTGGAAGTAAGTAAAAGTAGATAAAAGTAAGTTAATTCTATAGTATTTAATATGGAAGCTTCTTAGAAGCTTCATAGATGTTGCTTTGACTTCATAGGTATCTTTAATTGACTTTTTGGATTAGAAACGTGGTCAACAAGTTGGCCATGTGCCACACATGTTGTTAGCTTGAAGATCAAGCTAACTATGTGGCCCACACGTAGAAAAACTTGTCTTGTAAGTCAAGGCATGTATCCTACAAAGTCAACACATATTGGAGGTCCTATAGAATGTCACCACGTAGTCCCTGGTTGGATAGTATATATAGAGACAAGAGTAAAGCCTTCTTCACTGTTGTCAACTCCTTTCTTGCTTCTAGACTAGTTTCAAGGGTCTCTAGTTTTCTTGTCTTTTGGCAATAGCCATTCTAGTTTCCCTTTCAATATACATACTTGTTTATTTATATTTTGTTACCTTTCTTTGAATGAAGGCTCATTTGTCTGAATTTCTTTTTCATCGAGTTCTTGTCCTTGATAGTTAAAGAGAATAAAATAAAATTGAATAAAAAAATACAAAACTAAACTTTACCAAGAGAAAGAAACCAAAATTATATTTGACCGAATATCCAAATGGCCCTGGTCAGTCCTATTTATACTTTGTTCAACTATCTTGGAACATTTTAGAATATTTTTAATTGTGGATCTTACATAAGTAACTACCTTAAGTTCTTTTTAGAATGTTTTATGGTAGATCCTACATAGACCATCAACTATGCTCCAATTCTAGAAACTTATAGAAACTTCTCAAACATCGCTTTAACTATCTATCTTTATGCATCAATAATATAAATATCTTATCCATATCCAGTTACATACTATCTATCTAGAAGCTACATGAAGATGTTTTATAAGACCTCCAACATGTGTCATATTTACAAGACACATGTCTTAACTTGTAAGACAAGTTTCTTATTTATGCACCACATTATTAGCTTATACCACAAACTACCAATATGTGCGATCTGTGACAAACTTGTTGACTAAGTTTCTAACCTATCAATGACTTATGAGCATGTATAAAAGTGAAATAATATCTATGAAGCTTCTAAAAAACAATCTTAAAAGATATTATTAAATTGATTTATTTTTACTTATTTATAAAATCTAGGTAACTATTGGAGTAAATATGTATGTTTGTGACAAAGTAATATAAATTTATGATCAAAAAAATAAAAATTAATAAATAAAATAATAATTTGTTTGTTCTAAGAAATAGTTGATTTTATTAAATAAATTATTAAATTTCTATAATATATTCAATTTGAAAAGTTTAAAAAGTTTTTATTTATTTATGCTTATATAAATACATGTATATTTTAATATAAATAAAGTGTTAAAAATTTTAAAATAAATAATCTTTATTAAATAATATTTAAACTTAGTAAATACAAATATATTGAGCTTTCTTATTACTTATCTCTTGATATGTTTATGTTTTTTTAGAAGATGAAAACATATAAAACTATGATATTTAAATAATAAAATATAAAAAATATAATATTAATATTATAGATTGTGTTATTTATTTAATACTTAAAAAAATATTTTTTAAATGAATAAAAAATCTTTGTATATTTAATAATGGTTTTTTGTTGAAAATATTAAAATATTAACATGGCACTCTATAACCTTCTATGGCACTCTACAACTTTTTCTCTATTTTACACCACTTTTAATAGAACAAAGAATCAATAATAGGACATTAAATTTTTTTGACAAACTTTATTTTATACTACTTGATCTTTCATATTAGTTCATCCATAAACCCATTTATTTCATATCTGTGTATGTATGTATGTATATATATATATATATATATATATTAAAATAATTATTCAAAACTACATATACTTCACAATGGTTGATTTTGTTGTCCTTCGAGGTTAACTTTTAAACTGAGGTTAAATTACACTTCAATAATTTTTAATATTTAATTTTTTGAGTTATCAAAACAACAGTCATATGATTGAATATACAGTTGAAATTCCAGATGAGTAAAATCGGACCTTCAATTAATTTTGGAAATCCAGAAATAAGAAATAAATGTATTAGATTTATAGTTGTCACTTTCAGAATTATTGCCTAAACAATTCTGTAATGTTTGTTGAAAATAAGTTGTAATAATTGTATTTGATTTATTACATATACCATACCATAACCATTGAGTTATTTTGTAACAAATATTTTAAGAGAAAATAATTTTTATTAATTGATATTTTAATAATTTAAACACCACAGTAAAAATGATAAGTAGTACTTAATTTGGTGCAGATATTGTTACTCTAAAAATTCCTTCAACAAAAATATTCGTGAATTTTTTTATGACTCATATACAAGAAATTTCAATGACACTATTATTGGGTTGATTAGTATTGTTATTATTACAGTTTCTATATTAATTCATCAACTTTGTAATTTATTTTAAACCCGCTATGTTTAGCCTACAGATGTATAATGCCACTGCAATTTTTGCTTAGTTTTGTTTAAGTGAATTTGGATTTCATTTACTTTCCAAGCAGTTAAAACCCCTCAAGAATTGTAAATGTTGTATGACTTTGAAAATCAAAATAGTTTTACTTGTACTAATTTTCAGATGGTTTTCATCCTATAATCTGTGGAATATGGCTTTCAATTATTCATCCTTGCTTTAAAATTTCCAACCATTAATTTATTTTAGTTACTTTCAGTCTTTTCATTGCAGACCATTGTACATACATACATACATACATACATACATTCGTATTTCGTATTTTGATTTTCTTAATAATATTAGAAACTTTTTTTAGCATTTTTTAATGGATATTTTACAAAATATACCATATCTAATTTTATAAGATATATGTTAAAATTTCCATTTTTTAAAGAAAATTCCTGTTATACTATTTTCATAAATTTGACAGAAAATCAAGTGTACACAATAATTTAATATAATATTTTATGCAGAATTAATTAAACGTGATACAAACTCAACATCCTCAATATATGTATTCCATTATCATCACAAAACGTTTTTTATTTTATTAATAATACTTTCTTACTTTCAACCTCCACCAACATGCTTATAAAGGGTGGTTAATTTTCCGCTTGTGTTTCAATTACAAAGCATCACCACCTTGTTATGAACATAATTTTTTTAATTTGTACATCTTAGCTTCATTTCAACAACCTTAAAACATTACTTAATCCTATGCAAACAAAGTAATTTGTATAATTTTTTTAAAATACCTATGAGACATCATAAGAATACTTCCCTTTATCTTTGGAATTTGCTTTATAGGTGTCTTGTTATAAACTCATAATGGATCATAACAAAAAAAAAAAAAAAAAAAAAAAAAAAAATTATTTATTGATTGATTTTTTTTATTTTATTTTTTTCCTTGGAATCTTTTTGTGGGCCACTGATGAGATACTTAAGAAGGTCCAATAGAGTTCTACAATACCCACTTGTTGGAGGTGATAAGGCTATACTAGGTGAAGAGATATTCTATGAGAAATTCAACATCTATTTTGATATTTGGATCTTTTTGGAAATCAATATTTATTAGATATAAATATATACTAAAAATAAGCTTCCTACATCACACACATGTCCAAACCATGTAACAACGGTGGTCTCCATATTTCATCCATAAGTTACTTATGCCCACGTAGAATTGAACGAAGAAATGAGGATGAAGACGAAGACGAAGTTGGATGAAAGGAGCGGCAAGAAGAACGCTTGTGAAGCTATCGTTCTCTTGGATTCGGGGAACAACGAGGTATTGGGGAACGAGCCAGCACGTGCAGGGTATCAATAGCACCTGGCCGATAATCCAGTCGAAAAGAAAAGAGAACGGAAGAACAAGGAAAAGAAAAAAGAGATAACTAGAAGAGGGGAGGGGAAAGAAACGAGGGATTCATAGATTCGCCCCGGGATATCTACAGAACGGGAAGAAAGATACCTCCGGGCAGCGAGTCAGGATTGCACGCAGCAACTCTCGACCAGCAGCAGAACTGAGGCGTGGGGGTTCGGCGAAGTGGCGGCACGCTGGCGGCACGGCTAAACCGCGAAAGGAAGCGGCAGGAGGGGATTAGCTGAGGAGCAGGGGAGTATTGGCAGGTGCATCAAGTAATGAAGGTGGGTGGATCATGATCACGCACTGCCTGCCTTATTCCCTTCCAAATTAATTCCCTCCTCCTCCCCCCGCCCCTGCTCCGACTGCACATGCATCTTTCCAGATTCTCCCCGCATTGGAGGAGAGCAAATCCGGGCTGCGCTGCACAAAAGTCACAGTAAATCCTGCCATCAAAGACTGCGCCGCAATAACGCAGCGATCCTGGGTGGACTGGATTTTGCGTTTTCACTGGATGGGTTGAACGAGTAACTGGCGATTGTTGGGGGTGGTGGCGTTGGGGTAGATTGTGTGCTTGGGCCACCGCTGCCGGCGAGGGCGTTCGATTGTGAGGATCGTGATGTAACTAATTTGAGGGGTGGGGGAGCGCGCCAATTCCAGTTGATGTTTACCCCAAGGTCGAGAGTGTTTGGTGATTACAGGACAGAAATGGTCCACCACTGATGGGGGATCAGCCATTGTACCACTGCTGCTGCTGGTCATGATGATGATGTTGTTGCTGCTGCTGCTGTTGGTGTGTGTTGCCTAATATTGTTTCTTCCAGCCGAGAGCTGGCTGCTTGTTTGTTTGGTCTGCGAAGTCGCCTAATTTCACGCGAACCCACTTTCGCTCCGCACTCTGCGAGCCTGCCCCAGCATCGTCCCTCTTTGGTCCCTGACATCGCCGCTCTTGCACTCCCCTCACGAAATTCATCCCTGCAAACATCTTGCTCGCCTGTGCCCACTATTGCTGGCTTGCGACGGCGGAGGATGGTGTTGCAGGGTTTGCTGTGGACCTACGGAGGGGATGCATTGGTGGTCTGATTCAATTTTGCCTGTTTGTCTCGCTGTGCAAGGCTAGACTGGGGCAAAGATTTTTATTGTTTGGTGGTCTTGGAATTATTTGAGAGAGGCGAGTGTCGGCATTGGAATTCGGGCCAGCCCGGAAGAAGTGGCAGCGCATCTTATTCGTGACGAGATCTTCGAGGGTTGAGCTTCCGGTTAGGATTCAAAGAAAGGGCAGTCTTTGGTTCACTTCTTTCGATGATAGCAGCAAAGTGGGGGGGATCTGCAGGCAGAACTGTGAGTTCGGCTTTTGGGGTACCGTTGCAGTGAATTTTGTGGAGAACAGCACCAGTGGGAGAGGTTCAGGTCTTGGAGAGTGTATGCCTTTTGTGCCATGTGAACTATGGTAAGAATGTAGTTTAGTTCGAGGAAGGTACTACAGGCATGTGCAGCTGAACAGAAGTAGCGACGTTGTGGACAGGTCGTGTCGAGGGTAAGTTGTCTGCACTCGCAGTCTCTTTGCCATGGGTAAGAAAATGGACGATGAAATGTCGATCCCGGAAACCCCCCGGTCGACCAAGAGCCGGAAAGGGTTGTCAGCGCTACCCGTTACGCCCAACTCTGGCGCCGGTGCCAGATCCGTCGACAGCCGCGATGGGAACAACAACGCCGTCAGCCCGCGGGGCAATACCAAGAGCCCCCACAGCGTCAAGTCCTTTAAAGTGGACTGTAATAGCCCCGCTAGCATTTCTGTCAAGGGAGGGAGTGGCAGCCCCAAGAACGGCGAGAGCGATGACCCGGAGTATGTTAACGCCGACATCACAGCCGATGAGCTACGACAGATCGAGCAGGTGTTGCGCACCTCGGAGCCGCGCCTTCAAGAGCTGTACAAGAAGGTGGGCCTCCGTTATCTCCACATGTGCCACTCATCATTGTTTTGTCTATTTTATAGCACTTTCCGGGGTCCAAGTGTCCGGAGGCAATCCTTGTTCTTTATTTTATTTTTATCTTTCTGAGGAACTGGCATGTTTTCTGCTTTCGAAGCAGTTTTACCTGATATTGGGTTTCGGCACTGCAGGTGTCTGAGTCATCGTTCAAAGACCACGCCGCAGTGTTTGAAAACCTGCACTGGGACATTCTCAAGGAAACTGGGTATATGAGCTGGTTTGGACTGGCTTTTACATTGGCGGGCTATCTTAGCCATCACTGCCAGATGGAGGCGAAATCTCCCGCAGGAGAGAGATGGTCCAGCCTGAGGTCCGAGACAGACTTCATCATCGATCAGCTGGACGAACTCAAGCTGTGCCTCGAAGTGGACAATGACATGTACAAGATTGCTGCTGGGACTCTTCTGTATTGCTGTGCTGCTGTGCGTCTCTTGAAAAAGAAGAATCGCGGGTTCGCTCCCAACCTTTTCTCTCTCTCCTCACCATTGCAATTCTACTTCCGGGAAGCAATAAAAAATCAAATTGCTTAAAAGACAAGAAGTTTCGCATTTGTGGTTCCCGTATCATACTGACGTTTGTTGTTCGGCAGCTGTTTGTGCTTCGTTTCAAGGTATTCTGTGGTGCCGGTGAAGGAGCAGATTGAGAACTCGATTGCGGAGCTCAAGAGCTTACAAAAGAACATCACTTTCGCCACTTTGGCCGCAGTAGGGAACCGCGTCTCGCAGCCAGTTACCGAGCAGAACACCAAACGCTCTGGACCCGAGCAATGGACCGCCAGCGTAGGCTTGGAGCACCACGTTGCAACGGTATGTGAATTCGTTAAGAACAAAGGCGTCTGTGTTATTGGTATACACGGACAAGCCGGATTGGGTAAAACTACACTACTCAACGAAATTGTTGCGAAAATCGAGAAAGCGGAGAAGCGCTTGTTCGCGTACATAGAAGTCGGTGAGGACCTGAAGAAGCTGCAGAGCTCTCTACTCGAGCAGCTCGGGGGCGGTAAGAAGGAAATTACCAGCGTTGCACAAGGCCGCAGCGCCCTTCTCGCTCAGCTTCGCAAACTGAAAGAGAATAACAAGGTTGCTCGGATCGCCATTGATAATCTGTACGATGTACGTCTGGTTGGAGAATTCTTCCCTCACAGTATAGGGAAATTTCTCCCCTCCAACAGTTGTGTGATAATCACATGCCCTTCGGTGGCGATTCTTAGCAAGGTGGATCAGCTTTGTCGTCCCGCGATGCCGAACTACCACTACCTCCCCTATAAGCTGCCGTGCTTGGCTCCACAGCAAGCGAAGGCTCTTTTCATTTCTCACGCTGCCAGTGAGCCTGTGAACACTCTCTACTCCATCAATGGCATCTTCTCAAAATACGGTGACCTTGCAAACCACTTCTTGCCTCTCTGTGAAGGCCTGCCCATGGCATTGAAGGTCGTGGGGTCATATTTTTCCAACCCAGCGAACCGGAGTGAAGAGAACTGGTTGGCAATTGGCAAGCGGATGAAGCAGGTTGCAGAGGAGATGGACACGTCCGAGGATCAGATGTTTGCCAAACTTCTGGTAAGAGATGGACACCGGCTCTTAGATCGCAATTCTTTTCATCGCATGCGTGGGCTATAGTTGCGTAATCACTTGTTTTTCCTCTGGATTCGTGCTGAAGAATGGTTTGTATGCAGGTAATTTACGAAAAGCTGGGCCCAGCTCAAAAGGAGGCATTCCTTGACATTGCCGCTTTCCTACGAGGGTGGGATTGGCGGACAGTGGAGCGGGTTGTTGGGAAGCCGCAGCTGGATACATTGGTAGACCAAGCTATGGTCAGTGCGAAGCTTAAAGATGCTGAGAGCACTAGTGGCATTTCGTTGTACACACGGTACTCTGACCGGCCGTGGAAGTCCGAGATGGTGATGATGCACGAGCTGCTTTATGCTATTGCATGTAGGCGGGCAGCTGGTAACCGCGTCTGCTCGGAGGATCAGGCTCACTTGCCTGAGAGGCTTAAGATGGATGGTCCTGGAATGGTTAGTGCTTGGTGGACACAACCAAGACTGAGTTCACAAAATTAGGACTTGTACCTGCTTTTTTAAAAGAAAGAAAGCAAGAAAAAGAGGAAACGTATGCCATTTTGTGTGGTTTGCTTGTATTCATATTCAGATAATGATTCTTCTTTTAGTTTCCTGTTTCTTAAATGTTTACCCACTTTGGTTCAGGAATTGAGCGCTCTGCAGGGGCTTTCCCTGATCAGTTGTAAGGAGCCACTGCAAGGGACTATGTTGGAGAAGATGCAAGGCGCAAGGATTCTAATCCTTCATGACACTGGTGTGAAAGGATACTGCACGAAGCCCCTTAACCAGCTTCAATTCTTCTATTGGGGCCGGAGCAAAGTTGCCCCAGATGTACGAATTCCGTTTCAAATGGAGAGGTTAAAAAAACTAGAGATGTGCATTCTTAGGGCTGCAGAAATCGACCTTACTATCAAGGTACGCAGCTCCAACTTTTTAGATATCGTTTATGGAGATGGAATACCCTTGATTGGTTTGCGTTTTTCACAATAATCTCTGCGCAACTCTTGTTCACACCCTCGTTTCCTTGATCTGCACCAGAGTTGCTTGCAGTGCTAACGAGCTTTAGTTTCAGTTTTATTTTCTTAATTTAAATCTTATTTATTTATTTTTGATTATCCAATAAATCTCTTTGCCTGTTTCTTGCAGTTCCCCTCACAGCTGAAAGATCTCACTCTCATCGGTTGCAACAACATGGAGGTTATGCACGAGCACATCCTGCAATTGACTGGCCTTCTGGAGCTCCACCTCATCGGCTGCAATAAGCTCCACGATCTCACAGCCGAGTTTGCCGAGATGAGAAACCTTCGTAAGTTCAGGCTGGAAAATTGCTTAAGCATCCGGAATTTGCACAGATCCATCGGTCAACTCGCTAGCATCCGAGAATTGGACTTCTCGGGGTGCACCAATATCGCCACTCTCCCTCCGGAAGTCGGCAACGTCCAGACCCTTCTGAAGCTCAACCTTGTTCTCTGCAAGTGCCTGGTGAGACTACCAAGCGAAATTGGAAACCTCAAGAACCTGACTCACCTATACCTTGGCCAATCCGGCATCACCTCTCTTCCAGCTGAAATCGGCAAGCTTTGCTCTCTGGAAGATCTATCCCTCACAGGCTGCGTCCGGCTTGAGAAACTGCCTCCTCAAGTCGGCCAGCTCACCTCCCTTCGGAGACTGAACATGGGTTCTTGCACGGGCATCAAGGAGCTTCCCTCGGAGATCGGCGGCATGGTTTCCCTCCAGAAGCTCGTGTTAAATTCGTGTACCGCTCTTGCTCGTCTTCCTGATGAGCTCTTTGGCCTAGTTAATCTCCAGTCGCTGGAACTCGACTACATGAAGCTTCTGGCCCACTTGCCAGCCGAGATCGGCAACCTCCGAAGCTTACAGCGCTTGTCGCTCAATTGTTGTACTCGTCTCAATCGGCTACCACCTGAAATCGGTAGCCTTCCGGCGCTGCAAGTGCTCAACCTTGTGGGTTGCACGGGGCTCAAACCCGAGCTGCCTATGGAGATTCTGAAGATGCAGAAGGAAAATGCTGTGTATGTACATAGGGAGGATGATGCTGTCGTCCTTGAGGGGCCCAACAACCCCAGCTACAAGCTTTACAGCATGACGTACTAACTTCCAGGACAACCTCAATACGTTCACGACAGCTCTCAGCCACTGCTTATATCCAGGGTTTGTTTGAATTCGCCTAATCAACAGTGTTTGCTTATCAACACTTGAATGCTCCTTCCCAAGTCCCAGTCTGATGTCCCAACGGTGAGTGGGTTTGGTTCGTTATCCGAGTTCTATGTGAAATTTCTGACTACGAAGGTCTTGAGGCGAACACGCAATCAGCTGGGAGTGCGAACAGGTGCTATTTATTCGGTGCTTTCCTCCCAGATTAGGAAGTTTCATACTGTAGATGTGAGAGTTCGACAGCATCGCATTCCCTTCGAGTGGTTATAATCTCGGCATCCTCTTCGTTGTTCCCACATCTCTAAGGGGAATGTAGGAGTGGTGACCGGAGCAGCAGCCGAGAAGCGGGGGTTCATACGTGCTGTCTTGCGAGGTGAAGGCGAGTGTAGATTGGGGTTAGAGTAGCTACAATCGACTTGTGTGGGATGAATTAGTAGACAGAAGTTGGAAGAAACCAGTTCAAGTCTTAGTTACTGACTTGACCCATTTGTATGTTTTCACGGTGGCCGATGGCACAACTATTTTTTTAGCTGAGACAGCGAACATTCCCTCAGGAATGTGTATTCATGATCCACTGCATCTGTGTCATCCCTCAACTCACTCATATTTTCCATAGTAAACCATCTTGTATGAGCTTGAAGGGCAAATTCCAACTCTTCCGAGATTGCAACCTTGATAACAGTTTGTGTCTAGCTGCAGGACGATACCAGGCCAGATGCGCTGTTGCTTTGAACAGCATCGTAGGAATTCATCCCCTGATCCCTTGCGGAGTTTCTTGCTTTCGTGCGCGAGTACCTGGACCGGTCGAGTTATGCTGCATGTGGTTGCATTCAAAGCGATTGATGTGCAGAATCCCGCTGCAAGGCAATCTAGTCTCACTCCTTTTTCAAATTGACCTTGGAGCCTTGTTGGCCCAAACGCGATGGTCGCTGGTGGAGACTCCAAATATGGGTCCTCTTTGACAACATGCGAGATCAGATTTTGCAATTGTCCAGGTCTTTCGCACAGTTTCGACAACGGTAGTGGCGAAGTTTGTCGAAGTATAAACACGCTACAATCCCCGTCTTTTTTGCAAATGCGAAATTTCAACCTTGCTGGACTTTTTACTTCGATCTTTTGTTTTAGACACTTGGTATCGTAACCATACCTTCAAACTGGATTAGTTTCGAAGAGTTGTTGCCCTCACTGAAAGTCATTCTTTTTAACATTGTTTGCGTACAAGTTTCATTCAGGTATGAGTTCAGAGGTATTTTCCTCATGCCGATTGTATGCACAACCCCATTTTGTAAGAAGATGAATCTAACGATATCTCGAATTTCATAGCAGTGTGAAGAATCGAAAGTGTTCATGCGCATCGTCCATTCACCAAGACGTTCACACAACGAAAATCTACTTTTGTAACATAATTTCATGCATGTAAGCCTAAAATGTACGCGACTCATTATCAGTAAATTACCTAACATATTTTCTTGTAAGTGGAGGTTGTGTGAAACGCACCATACTCACAAATCATAATTTTATTCATTCTTTTTATTTTTCCAAAAACATAAACTCGTGTGTTCAAACTATTTCTGGAGTTGAAAAAATCACCTAATATTTTACTTGAAAGAGTGATAATTCAATCAACAAACAACGAATCTAAAAACTTCGATTACAACACCCATAGTTTTCAATTTCGATTTGCAGTTTAGTATCACACCATTGTTGCGGCTGAGAAAAATCCTGAGACGACCTTGCTCACACAGAGGAAGTAATCTCGGAGACTTCAAACCTGGCAGAGCTCCTGTAACGCAATTGACGCTGCAGCTTGAATGCGTGCCGAGAGATCGTTGTGACCGAACATCGTCGTCACATCCGAATCAAGTGGGTTCCAGCTTCGAAATGGCAAAATCGCAGGAGAGGGCTCACATGCCAGAGGACGCTTCAAATGGTTCTCGGGAAGGCAGTAAGTGGGGTTTCGGAAAACTGGGTCTGCGAGGACGAGGATAATACTGACGAATTACGCTGAGCATGCTGCCTCGCCCGCGAGAGATTACGATAAAGCGGATAAGGTGTCCAATACCCCTGGCGCACTCAGGAGGGCATTGCAGGGTCTCAGCCGAGCTGGGAGAGTTCCATCCTCTTCCTCATGTAGGGAGTTGGGTGTTCAGCGGAGCTGCGGAGAGAGCGAGAGAGTTGTGGTAGACGCGCAGCTGCACGGAGCCCACAGGTTTTCCAGTTGTTTCACAATCCCCCCTGCGCCCCTTTCTCGCACTCCTCCCTTCACTATGGCGATGGCTGTCATGGCCTCCTCAGCTCAGGCCACGGCCCGCTTGCAATTGGCGTCCTCGAACCCCACCAAGAGCTCAGTGAGGTCGTTGTCGTCGTGCGCTTCTGTAGCTGTGCGGGGCTTCCAACCCCTGTCATTGCAAGCTAGAGGACGTCTCTCTCGTGCAGGTGGTTCTCGTTCTTTTGTATGGATAATTCGGGGAAACGTCTGCGTCTTTTTATTTATTTTTGATTTTGATATTGTTCTTGCAAATTGGAGGCCGATTCCGGACTTGGCTGGGAGTTTTCGTTCTCGTGTCGAGTTCTCAATCTTGACGTGTTCTTAATCCCTGGGCTAAGTCTTAGACATTGTGGTACATGGGTACGCATTGGGAGGTGATTTTGCAGAAGATGTCACTTAGCTATCACGATCTCAGCTGTGGCATCTGGTATATCTATGTAAATAAGGAGTTGAAGTTTTAGTGTGCCTGTTGCATAGAGGAGGGAATTAATTCGACGCCATTTCGCCGTTGAGGATATTTGAGTGGGTTTTGATTTTCGGCTTTCTGTGTGGCAGGTCCTCTCAGAATAAGGGCAGCTGCAAAAGACACCGAGGAAGGTAATATCTGAAGTACATTATCTCGAATTTCGTAGTTGCAACTCGTTTTTAGTGTCGCAATGCCTGAAAAAGTGTCCTGAGCTTTGCAGAGCTCATGCGAAAACCTAATCACCTCCAAGTTGTGGGGGTTATTATTACGTTTCAGGGAGCATTTAATTTGGCCGTTTCTGATCACGATCAAAACGTTTTCAAATTTATAGGATACTTATGCCTGTATCCAGTAGATCAAATTTTAACAAGCTGATCGTTTCATTTGCCTCAGACAAGGTCTCTAAGTTGGTGGATGCGGCTCCAAAAGCAGCTGGCTCAGCCGTAAATCAGTTGCTTGGCATTAAAGGCGCTTCAGCTGAAACGGTAGGGTGGGAAATGGGTTTGTGTGATGTATGACTTGCAAGATGCTCGCTCATTGATGTATCAGCCGTATCGAGGTGAAATTGTTTTAATTAACTAATTGCACCGAGTGAATGTGGTTCGCCTGCTCATGTATCTGACGTGGGTGATACACCACTCTGAGTGTCCAGAACAAGTGGAAGATTCGGCTGCAGCTCACGAAGCCTGTGACCTGGGCCCCTCTAATCTGGGGGGTGTTGTGTGGTGCTGCTGCTTCAGGTATACATTCACAACAGAAGAATCAGAGTCTTTGCTAAGAGAGAAATATGTGAAAGAAGTGTTGTTCTCTAATCGAATACATTTTTAAAATTTGTTTTGGTTGAAATGTAGGCAATTTCCAGTGGACACTAGAGGATGTGGCCAAGTCGTTGACATGCATGTTGATGTCTGGACCTCTTCTTACAGGATACACTCAGGTATATCAGCGTCCAAATGTGAAAGTTAGCTTTTTGGCTGTAAAACAATTTGAGAGAGAGAGTTGCGCCATAATGAGTGTCTTGTTGGAGTGTTTTTGAAGTTTTTTGTGTCTATTTATTGAATGATAATATTCATCTGGCTCTTACACTCGCTTTTTGGTTTTCCAGACCATCAATGATTGGTACGACAGGGAGATTGATGCAATCAATGAGCCTTACAGACCCATCCCCTCTGGAGCCATCTCAGAGCCTGAAGTACGTCAGACAACCATGGTTCACTTTGTTTTTAATTGTAGATAAATCTTCGAAGTGTTCTGTCTGTCTTCATCTAACTTGACGTTGATCTTTGCAGGTCATAGCCCAAATTTGGATCCTTCTGCTGGGAGGATTAGGGGTGGCTTACGGTCTGGACAGATGGGTTAGTATCGCTATTTTCAACGTATTGTATTTTTTCTTAGGGCTTTGGATAACAATTTGGAGGTTTTCCTTCCTGTATAAAATGTGTGTGTGCGTGTGTGTATACGTGCGCATGGATTGTTCTAATTTATTCACAGGGTTGTCATTGAAGTAAATGCGTTTAAATACAAAGAGCCTTGCACTTGTTATGTTGACAACCTCGAAATACATAGAATGTGTACTAAGCCCTTGGTGTTATTCGGTGATGCAGGCAGGACACGATTTTCCCATAATTCTTTGCACAGCAATTGGAGGGTCGTTCTTGTCATATATTTATTCCGCCCCACCTTTGAAGGTATCCCTACATACGGAACGTTTCTCGTGCACTTCCTTGAAATCTGTTCCTTGGCCTCTTCTTTCTTTGCCGCTTGGCTTGATGATTTTCTGAAACAGAATGTCTCATGGTCTTTACTTGTCCGTGCGCAGCTCAAGCAAAGTGGATGGATCGGGAATTACGCCCTGGGCTCGAGTTACATTTCTCTGCCATGGTGATTCAAGCGAATATTTTTAAAATTTTGGCTACCCATCATCTTATTTTAATGACAGTCCAGTGTATTTCTTAGTTCAAGTCTTGTGGATTAGATTATAGAATTATTGCGAGAGCAAGTCTGTGCTGCAAAATTAATGCCGTACGTGGTATGTACAAATCTGCAGGTGGGCGGGACAAGCATTGTTCGGTACTCTATCATGGGACGTCGTTATTCTTACTCTTTTGTACAGTACTGCTGGGGTACCCATTTCTAACCGCCCACTGTCAACAGCAAATTTGCGAGCTTCTTAGTACAGGGATTCCATATGATTTCCGATTTATTGCAGTGTTTAACCGGACGAAAGGTTCGTGAACATCCTTTTGCAGTTAGGGATTGCTATCGTCAACGACTTCAAAAGTATTGAAGGAGATCGGCAAATGGGTTTGCAGGTGTGAAACTACAGTATATTTTCTGCCGTATTTTTAATTATTATTAATAGTAGTAGTAGTAATAGTAGTATTTCTTTGTGTTGTACCCATTATTACACGTGAGTTTGAGGCCAGCATTTCCAAACCCTGTGGTATGTCGCCACTCAATGCATTATTACGTTCAGACTATGTAAACGTTTACAGTCGGTTGACTTCACCGGTTTTTGATTGTGGTGTTCATCTGGCTTATGGAACAGTCATTACCAGTAGCGTTCGGTATCGACACAGCAAAGTATATTTGTGCTGCTTCCATTGATGTGACACAACTAGCGGTTGCAGGTAAGTTTGAGGTTTTGTCTTGAAAGGTTTAGTTGCTCGCATTAGTTTCTCCTGCGGATTTTGCAATTGAGTAATCAATGAACATAATCCACAGTTTCCATGTGCTCACAGTTTCTTCTCTTGTGCCTTCCTCTTCTCTCCAAGCCCCTAGTAGCTACCGTTTAGACAGTTTTCAGGGCGGTAACGCTTCTATTATTCCATGGAGGGCACACCATTTTCTTGTTTGTCATCTAGAATATCTGTAACACTCTGTTGTCAGTCACTGCCTTCGGATTTTCTTCTCGTTAACTCAAAGATGCGCTTCTGGTACGGTAATGGTTGCAGCATACATCTTATATCAAGGAAAGACGTACTACGGTTTAGGGCTCCTCGCTCTAATTATCCCTCAAATAATTTTGCAGGTAACGTCTGCTAATTTCACATGTGAATTACCAGCTAACCGAAGGTGTCTGTTGTCATTGATGCACCATAAACTAGTGAAAGTAGTGAACAGAAGTCCTATATACTATTAATCATTCCTTAGTAGACACCGTTATGAATTAACTCTGACACTTAACAACTTTTGTATGCCACTGACGTCAATTATTGTATTGCAGTTCAAGTACCTATTAGTGGACCCTGTTAAATACGATGTCAAGTATCAGGTAACTATTATTTAAGTCTTCCAAACTCCAAGACTTCAGAACATATGTTTTCGCAGGCATTGAGAAGGAAGATCACTTTCTGAACCATTTTGTGACATTGTGCAGGCTAGTGCACAACCTTTCTTCGTGTTTGGTCTCTTGTTGACCGCCCTGGCGACCAGCCATTAAATGGACAGTGTACAATGAGTGACCCCTCAAGTTAGTGGATTGCTTCATTCAGTCAAAGAGATCTGTACCAGGAGTGAACACGAGTGTCAGCATATTACCTTCGTTGCAGTTTTGAGATCTCATATTGTGTACTCGCTGATCACTAAGCTTGGAAGCGCCCTTAGATTCAATCAGATATAGACATGATCGAACTTAATCTTAGAAATACAATCTATGTCCTAGAGATAGAATCTTAGTTGTGAAGTCCCGATTTTGCGTTTTATTGGCCTCAAATAAATCCTCATTTTGGTGGAAAGCTACCTCAACAGTGCATTTATAAGCAAGCATCAGTTGGGCCAAGAGTCTTGGCATTCAACGAAGATAATGAACCAACTGCAATAGATTTTTTAGCTTGAATCTAGTCCAGTGCTATTCATTAGAAACGCATCGACCATTGAAATCCCTGCAAGTAGGGGTTATTGGAGTGTAACTCTATCCACAAATGTTCGTTCAACAGCATTTGTTAACAAACGGAGCTAAACAGTCGATTTTATCGCTCTTGAATGTTGTCTCCCGATAGTGAAACCATGCTCTAAAAAAATGACAAGAATTGTCTAATTGAAACTGTAGTCACTTTCTTGTTGTAAATTTCAGTAGCTACATCAAATTTAAATACTTACTAATCCAATTCAATCAACGAATGAGCAGACTTTAAGCCAAAGTCGCCCGACAACATCCAGAATATTGACGTTACTTCTTATCCATGTGTGTGCACAAATGTGTAGATCATGTCATTTTCTGTACTTTCATAGAGTTGGTGTACTATATGAACACGCCAATTCATGAATAATCCTAAAAACTGAAGTTGGATGGAAGCCGTCTCTGTGTGGAATCTGTGGTGAAAGAAGAGTTGATGTGTCGAAATTTGATAGAAGGTTATTTCTACAAACCCAGCAAGCTGCCTGGCTGAACAACAATGTTGTGACTCACCCCTAACCTGAACTGCTCTGGGTCAACAATTCCAGCATCACACGTGTGAGAAGCATTCAAGTCAAATGCATAAGCTCACCTGATATGTACTTCAGTCCTAAGGTAACCCTAAACCTAACCAGATCCTGCTGTCGAGACGAGCCGTACCCATATTCATTGCCAAACTCAATTCATATTATGGAGTATAATTTCTCACAATAGGCTTCTAGCATCGCCGGGTTCTTGCTCTTCGGCATTGGCCTCTCCTCACCGCATATCTATGTTGTCATTCTGGGTTACCATCGAAATCTTGGAGGTCCCGTCTGTCGCCTTCTACCATCACTGTGCACCACAGTTACCTTCCGTGCTGCTGGTCGATGTCTATGATAGCTTGCTTCATGGAGCTCTTGCCTGTAGATGTAAAGTCAAGCGTAAGTCTTTGCCTGGGAGATCCTTGGTACTGTGACGTCAAGCGTGAGTCTTTGCCTGGGAGATCCTTGGTACTGTGACGCGGTGGACTGCAGATCCAGGAGGTTCCTTGTCTATTGAACACGTGTCTGTCCTGTTGGGTGTCTGTCTAGCACCATACAAAATGCCAGTCCTGGTGATCTGTTGCCTTGCTTGGATGAGAATGGTGCAATAGGAATCTGAGACGATTTCCGCTTGTAGGCTCTGGTATGCGCCGTGTCTACGAGATTTTGGTCTCTAACAGTTTGAAATGTCCTATTCAGTTATGATGGAGTAGATCCGTTAACCGCGAGTTTAACCTTGAAGCTCGTGCACGAGTGATTCAATTAAATTATTAAGCCGCGAGTTTAACTGCAATTAGATTAAAGAACTCGTACTATATGGCTGCAGTGGTTGTGGGAAGGTGAAGCGACCATCTCTCTGGTGATGATCAAACAAATACTTTCGTTCTACTTAGTTGCTAAATGCATTGAGGAAAGATATTTGGAGACCTGAACTGAAGCAAGAGATATCCTGTGTGATTGTTACCTGAGTCTGACGTGGTTCGTTGTAGTTCCGTCATTGCAGTGTGATGTGGACCTTGGGTTGAATGGGGCAGGGCATTGTGGATGGCCCTGGAGTACTGCACGGGTTCTCTGTGCGGCGCCCTAACCGGAAGGTCCTAGAGGGAGTAAGTGGTGTCATAGTACTTCTGCCATGTTGGGTGGCGCAAGCCACACTCGATCACTGGGGGTAGTCTCCAAATCCCACTACACTTTATTTTTCTGAGGCTAGATCCGTTGCATCGAGAGTAGAGAGTAGGTTGTTGTATGATGAACCCGCAAAAAGAAGTGAAGAGCGTACACAATTAAGCCGGCGTGCCTGCAGCGGCCCTTTAGGGCATTGGTGGCTAGCACGCGACTATGTGATACGAAGATGAAGTGGTAGATACTGTCTGCTCAGCCCGAACGGCCTGCGGGTCTTGAAGGACAGGGCCTGGTTATGCTACACATGTGATTAAACATAGGAGGAATGAATGGGTACTTGCACATCCCAGCACTAGGTGTCTGTCAATGACACTCATGTCACTATTGAGATGCAAAGAGAAACCAAATTCCACTGCTGATATGGAGGTGATATGCAATCCGACTGTGGATGGGTATTGCACTTTGCTTCGGCACATTTTACTGTGACTATATACCTGCACAAGCATTTGAAACATGGGAGTGCTCATTAACCTAAAAAGATCAATATTTAACATCTGTTTAAAGAATACATCATTTATAAAAGAATTTTTAAATAAAAAATATTTGAATTCTATTATCAAAGTTTTAACCAAAAAACTTAAAGATGGTCAATGGATTAATAGTCTAGCTATTGGATATAATAAACTATGTTCTATCTATATATATGATATGATGCTTACCACCACCTTTGTAATCATTTTATATTAACATTGAACAGATGACTAAAAAGTATTACTAAAATAACTTTGATTTATAGATGTCAAAGTGGTTATAATAAAAGCCAATGCAATACAATAAAAATATGAAAATGTAAAAATTAGTGTAACTAGAGAGTAGAAATTAGTTAATAGCAATAGTTTTAGGCCACTACATTAAAATTCTTAGTTGCTCCCAACATGATTGATCATTTTAACTAACAACAAAAAAATTACTCTTTCCTGACTTTGTGGCATACGCATCCTAGGTAAAATGCAATTCATAACTATTAAAAACTAGCTATTATTTGTAGTTACAAGTATTTTATTTTATTATTTTGTTCACTCAACAGTAATAATCATTAGTAACGACACACATTATGCCAAACTTAAGTACTTACATATCAGTACTTTAATTCAATTTAAAACTAACCAATAGAATTTTTTATAAAAAGGTCTTTCTCTTCCAAATATTTTTGATAAATACAATAATCATTCAAAGAATTTAATGAGATTGTTGCATAGTCTAATATTAATGTAAGACTGTACATTTTAAATTAAATTAAGGAAATAATATCGAATCTTATACCGTGATATTTCTGCGCAGAAATATCTTTCTACCTAGTTGCTAAATGCATTGAGGAAATAACATCGAATCTTATACATTAGGCTTATTTGAGACTGAATTTAGAATGTCAAAAAAGAATCAAAACAAGAGTCAGTTGCCAAACTTTGAAATGGTTTATTACTAGTATCTAAAAATTATATACAAGTATGTGTACGGAGTGTTATACAATCATATATTTCAAAAATATGTTACAATGTTTTTTTTTTTTTTTTTTTTTTTTTTTTTCAAAGACACGTAAGTGCTATGACACACAAAATTCCAACAAATCCTAATTTTGTATCTAAGAGTAATATTTACAACTATTCAAGGTATCCAAGTCAAGTGTACCACCAATTTAACCAGAACACTCTGGCTTAGAGTTCGGTGGAATAGTGCAGAATAGGACAATGTTGCTGATATATTGTCATGCACAATAGCTGTTATATTGACAGAGTACAATAATATTTTCTACAAAACAATTATTTGATTGATAACAATCTTAATTGTATGTGTATGTCAAAATAATGTCTGTTTTAGGTAACTCATCAGTTTTAGCCTAAGAGTGTTTGGAGTAAAATCGAATTGGAGTTTCTAGTTCAACAGTTGTGTTATCTCAGCAGAAGTACTTTTTCTTGCGTATGGTATCATCAATGACAGATGTAGCTATCTGTGCGTACGCACATGTGGTACTAGGAACAACTCTTCGATGACGTTGGAATCGGCTTTACAAATACGCTGTGAAGAATTTGAAAAGACATGAATTATCGAATATGGTGCTCGGAAAAAAGCTGTTGAAGTTGTACCAGTTTACAAATATGTGTTCAGCATGCTTTTTGATGACGCGCTGCAAAGTCCTATCGAAGTGATCTGTCACTAGCCAATGGCGACAGTTTTGCGTCGGTTGAAACCACGACTTAAATTTTAAGACCCTGCTTCTTGAAAGAAACGATTACTATACTGATTACCGCTTCACATGGGTAGTTTCATAATCGGCATCTCGTCCATTCTGGAGATGTTACCAAGTGGTCGGAAAATTCACTGACGGCTGCCTCCCAAAATTTGTTCTCTCAACCAGAGTGTAGTACTGTTTCTGCGTAGTTTCTCAACGACGATTCAAATTACACGATTGTCTTTTTCGAACAAACAATCTCACTATCACGGCATCTGATTTTACGGAAGTTTCGGAAGTACGCAAGTGAAACTGATGTGAATACAATTTATTATCCGGAAGGTGATAATCTACAAATTCCTCCGCTGGAGGATGTACGGTATCCATTACGCGTTCACACAAGCGTTGACTGCTCCGTCTGTTGATGCACTTTCTTTTTAGGTTAATGAGCACTCCCATGTTTCAAATGCTTGTGCAGGTATATAGTCACAGTAAAATGTGCCGAAGCAAAGTGCAATACCCATCCACAGTCGGATTGCATATCACCTCCATATCAGCAGTGGAATTTGGTTTCTCTTTGCATCTCAATAGTGACATGAGTGTCATTGACAGACACCTAGTGCTGGGATGTGCAAGTACCCATTCATTCCTCCTATGTTTAATCACATGTGTAGCATAACCAGGCCCTGTCCTTCAAGACCCGCAGGCCGTTCGGGCTGAGCAGACAGTATCTACCACTTCATCTTCGTATCACATAGTCGCGTGCTAGCCACCAATGCCCTAAAGGGCCGCTGCAGGCACGCCGGCTTAATTGTGTACGCTCTTCACTTCTTTTTGCGGGTTCATCATACAACAACCTACTCTCTACTCTCGATGCAACGGATCTAGCCTCAGAAAAATAAAGTGTAGTGGGATTTGGAGACTACCCCCAGTGATCGAGTGTGGCTTGCGCCACCCAACATGGCAGAAGTACTATGACACCACTTACTCCCTCTAGGACCTTCCGGTTAGGGCGCCGCACAGAGAACCCGTGCAGTACTCCAGGGCCATCCACAATGCCCTGCCCCATTCAACCCAAGGTCCACATCACACTGCAATGACGGAACTACAACGAACCACGTCAGACTCAGGTAACAATCACACAGGATATCTCTTGCTTCAGTTCAGGTCTCCAAATATCTTTCCTCAATGCATTTAGCAACTAAGTAGAA